TAGTGCCATATCACCCAGACGCCACTAGTGCCATATCATCCAGACGCCATTAGTGCCATATCATCCAGACGCCATTAGTGCCATATCATCCAGACGCCACTAGTGCCATATCATCCAGACGCCATTAGTGACATATCATCCAGACGCAACTAGTGCCATATCATCCAGACGCCACTAGTGCCATATCATCCAGACGCAACTAGTGCCATATCATCAAGACGCCATTAGTGCCATATCATCCAGACGCCACTAGTGTCATATCATCCAGACGTCACTAATGTCATATCACCCAGACGCGACTGGTGCCATATCATCCAGACGCCACTAGTGCCATATCATCCAGACGCCATTAGTGCCATATCATCCAGACGCCATTAGTGCCATATCATCCTTAATTGGTGTTCCCTTGGGTTAACCATATGCGTGGAGAGACGCGATCTGCTGTCGAAGGAGTCATCTTATACTCCTAAAGAATCAATCCCAGGCCTTGTGACTTCGTCCTGCGAAGTCTACACCATCGTCACATTGTGACGGACAAGTCTACACCATCGTCACATTGTGACGGACAAGTCTACACCATCGTCACATTGTGACGGACGGATGCCAGAAAAGAGCAGCACCATTCCCTAGTAGTAGGCTCAAGAAATGTCTTCACTGTTGGAATGGTTTGTGAATACATTTGATAGGCGTTGTCAAGTGATTTCAGTTTTTTTCGATGGCTGCTTACAAGTTACTTAACGGGACTTAAATCGCCTTGTTCAGTAATCTGGAGCTCATTTCTTTGTTTTGAGCCGATTTGGACAACCACACACACACAAAACAACCCCACGTTCTGCTAAATGGGATGTTGGAAAGGCAGCAAGAAGTTTCTTGACCAGGGTAACGATTGGAGATGTTCTTTTGGAGCCGAAAAATCTTGTTACGAGCTCCTGAACTTTAACCTCATCTCTTTAGCATTTTTCAGCTGAATTCCATCTCCTCCAATAGCACCAACTGTGAGCTCAGGATCCGAAAATGGATTTATCGCCCAATCTGGACTGTCAATGAAAAGTAGATCCTAAATCGCTCAGACATATCCGAATGTTCCCAAAATACTTCAGGATCATCATCTGGTAGTTCACTGCTAACTACACAAGTCCTTATAGTTATGGTCGCTCAGGATCATCACCTGGTAGCTCACTGCTAACTACACAAGTCCTTATAGTTATGGTCGCTCAGGATCATCACCTGGTAGCTCACTGCTAACTACACAAGTCCTTATAGTTATGGTCGCATGCACTTTGGAAACGATGAAAGCTCTTTCTACGTGCGTCTGAGAGTATTTATGATATGTTATCAGTGATAGCTACTCACGCTTGGTTTTTAATGCTGAAAAACAAATACATTTGTTATATATATCTATCTATCTGATTAAAAAAGTTATCATAACACAAATCACTACGCCTCCTAATCCTACTGCACCCCCGCCCCCCAAGAGCACGAAGAATTTTAGCGCCCCCCCTGATCGGCCGCACTTTGAGAACCACTGCTGTACCAGCGATGTCACATGACCGCCGGCTGTTTTGGGAGCTTATGTCATTCCAATATTTCTTGCGTAAACACGAAATTAACTCTACAGACTACAGACTACAGAGTTTTTGAAAGGAAACAAAAAGGCAACTATTCTTTTTTTTAGTTGTTTTTTTTTAAATAATGTTTTAGATTTTAGAGCATGGTGGATGTTCATGTCAACCCCAAAATTTCATGACCTTTATCACGTCACTGAATACTATTTTTAGGTATTGGGTAAATGGGTTACGGAGTTCCTAGATTCAGCCCCGAGAGGTGCCCATAACAATATCTGTAAGCTGATCTCCGTATACACAAACCAAACAAGAGGAGTGCAGCTGTCTCTATCTCTCTATTATATAAACGCGCAAGACGCCTCCCCCCTTTCCATGGTTACCACCTACCAAGATAAACGATCTTTCACTGGCCGTTCTGCAACACATCGTGGGAGGAGTCATTGTCCACACGTTTTCAATGCGGCTTGTTGGTCCCTACTGTACATGTCATTGGACGCATTGGATGGAGCCTTTAGCTCAGCCATCGTACTGCGTTGTCAGCGGCTTGTTTGTCCCTACTGTACATGTCATTGGACGCATTGGATGGAGCCTTTAGCTCAGCCATCGTACTGCGTTGTCAGCGGCTTGTTTGTCCCTACTGTACATGTCATTGGACGCATTGGATGGAGCCTTTAGCTCAGCCATCGTACTGCGTTGTCAGCGGCTTGTTTGTCCCTACTGTACATGTCATTGGACGCATTGGATGGAGCCTTTAGCTCAGCCATCGTACTGCGTTGTCAGCGGCTTGTTTGTCCCTACTGTACATGTCATTGGACGCATTGGATGGAGCCTTTAGCTCAGCCATCGTACTGCGTTGTCAGCGGCTTGTTTGTCCCTACTGTACATGTCATTGGACGCATTGGATGGAGCCTTTAGCTCAGCCATCGTACTGCGTTGTCAGCGGCTTGTTTGTCCCTACTGTACATGTCATTGGACGCATTGGATGGAGCCTTTAGCTCAGCCATCGTACTGCGTTGTCAGCGGCTTGTTTGTCCCTACTGTACATGTCATTGGACGCATTGGATGGAGCCTTTAGCTCAGCCATCGTACTGCGTTGTCAGCGGCTTGTTTGTCCCTACTGTACATGTCATTGGACGCATTGGATGGAGCCTTTAGCTCAGCCCTCGTACTGCGTTGTCAGCGGCTTGTTTGTCCCTACTGTACATGTCATTGGACGCATTGGATGGAGCCTTTAGCTCAGCCATCGTACTGCGTTGTCAGCGGCTTGTTTGTCCCTACTGTACATATCATTGGACGCATTGGAGCCTTTAGCTCAGTCCTCGTACTGCGTTGCCAGCGGCTTGTTTGTCCCTACTGTACATATCATTGGACGCATTGGAGCCTTTAGCTCAGCCCTCGTACTGCGTTGTCAGCGGCTTGTTTGAGTCAATCATCGTCAGTGGCGCATCCAGGGTCAGTGCCGCCCAGGGATCAAAGTACCTATTATTTACATCTAGGTACTCCTATCGTCTCTCGATCTGAACAAATGCATGCAAGCGAAACGCATGGCAGTCACAAATTCCACCCACAAGTGTAAATGTTATTATCAATACTTGCTCCCTGCGTTACAAAACCATCAGTTAGAATCTTATGCTGGTCTAGTTTTGGGTTGTTCCTTGTGAAGTAAAAAAAAAAAAAAAAAAAGAAGAGAAATGCATTAACTTTACCTTTGATATAAATTATTGTTTGTTAATTAATGATGATGGGGTTGGGGTGGGTAAGTGTTCGGTAAGCTCATAGGTTGGTCCAAACGTGTATTGGATAAAACAAAGAGTTGCCAACTCAACAATAAGGAATTTAAGGACAAATACCGATATTTATACATTGAAAAAAAAACAACAAAAAAACACCTAACAAATAGGGGGTGGTGGTCAGTCAGTCACGCGGCTGCAAC